CAAAGAGGTATGACAAGTCAAAGGTAAAATGTTTTAATTGTCAGAAAATCGGTCACTTTAAAAGGGATTGTCTTGAAAGAAAGGTCAATGAAGATTTTGTTCAAGCTGTAGTTGCATTGGGTGAGGAAAGTTATGAGGATGCCGAAGCTATTAAGTTTCGAAACTGAAGATAGTTGGGTCATTGACTCAGTTGCTCTTATCACATGTGTCCAAGAATATAATACTTTGAAACTTTGAAGATGGTGCAAGGCGGAGTAGTTCTCCTTGGTAATAATAAGGCATGCAAGGTTCATGGTATTGGTACGGTCAGATTTAAAATGTTTAATGATCATGAACTTCTTATTCATAATGTGAGGTATGTTATAGAACTCAAGCAAAATTTGTTATCTATAAGTATGTTTGATGATTTAGGCTATTATACTATAGTTGAACGTGGAGTGTTGGAGATTTCACGTGATGAATTAATTATTGCTAAAGGTTTTAAAGTATGTGGTCTATATATTTTAGACGGTTCAAATGTTATTATTCATTCATCGTTAGCTAGTGGAGGCTTTCATGATAAGGAAGATCTATGGGATTTGAGTTTAAGGCGTTATGAATGCCTTGAGAAAGTTTCATAGGAGTACAATGAATTTTGCAGGAATCAAGGGATAAAAATGCATGTTACCGTTGAGTTGTTATTGAGTTTTTAGGGAAGAGCTGAGGTTAAAACAACTTACTTGGTTGGTAGAGAATTTCTTCAGAAGAAGAATAGTGAAAACCAAGAGAGAAACAATAACGGAGAAAACTCAGTTTGAGGTGGAGTTTCCTACTGCGGATGCTAGTAGTAGTGAGCGAATAGTTACAAAGATCTCTGATTATCATTTGACTCATGATAAGGTAAGGATGGTTATTATAGCATCTCAAAGGGACGATTATGCTAGCCTTGGATGTTATGCTTTTAATGTGGCTGAATGACTGCAAAATAAAAGAAGAAAAACCTTCAGGGAGGCATTTGAAAACATATGGAGTCAAGGGTGGTTGAAAAATCATACTTGTAGGTTTGTTAAATTACCTAGGCAGAAAAGGGTAATTGGGAACAAGTGGATGCAAGTTGCGAGATCAAGATTCAAGGGTTGCTTGAATTTGATCAAAGTTATTGATTAAAGTTTCAACTTGGTGGATAGCAGCAATGTTGTTGATTGGTATCAACATGGTTTAAAGTCAAGGTGGGAATTGTTGTAAATGTGCCTTAAAACCTTTGTTGTGAAGAGAAATAAAACATATTTTGGAGATTGCATTTACCGTGAAAATCAAAAGTTTTAGAAATTCGGATAAAAAGTCGGGGAAAAAAAACTGGTCGGTGAATAGTGACATCCGTACGGTGAATAGTGACATCCAAACGGATGAATAGTGACGTCTGTACGGTGAATAATATGTCCATACAGTGAATAGTTTTTTTTCCGAGTTTTCAGGCTTTTTTTATTCGGTCCATGGATCCATGTGATTTTGGGTTTTGTTTATTGGGTATTTGCTATTATAAATATGTATCTCTTATATGTTTGGTGTGTGACAATCTTAGAGTTTTCACCAACAAGAGAGACCAAGGGTTTAAATGTATAACATAAGGTTTTAGTTATGCACAAAGAAAACCTTGGATTACACCTTGGGTTTGAGTGATTCATATATTGAGAGTTGGAGAGGTAGGGAAACACTTGGGCAGAAAATAGGATTGTTCTTGGGCGCCTTCAGGGTTGTTCTTGGGAACCTGAAGGCGAAGGTTATTTTCTTGTAACTCATTTGTAATCTCTTGTAACAACTTTCTGAGTATATTGAATTGGAGAGCTGTTATCTCCCCCAGAGTAGATCGTTTGATCGAACTGGGTAAACAAACCTTCAATTTATTCTTGTCTTATTCTGTTATATTATTTGTACGGAATATTATTGCTGAAGACCATTTATTTTGGTTGCTATTGTTCTTTGCCTCACAAATTAATATTGAATTTTGTCGTAATTCACAACAAGATTCACAACAGACCATTTATATTTAAAAGTTATTGGATACTCCTTCTTCCTTGACTCACACGTCATGGTTACCTCTGGGCGAGGGTGACCTAACTTAGGATCTTTACAAATATAACACTACATATTTCCTAAAGCATGAGGACTTATCTAAGGGCAAAATGTTTTTAAACTCCTGAAGCCCGCCCTTTTCCTTTTTATTAACTTCTATAGACGAGGGCGACCATGCTCATAAGGCGGGTCCCTCATCTAAAGGCGAGTCCCACAACTGAAGGTTTTTATAAGAAAGGTGAATGATGTAAAAAAGAGTAAACCTACTTTTAGATGATATTCAAAGACATCAAAATGTCAATCATTTTTGAAAGCTTGAGTGTTTGAGTGAGAGAAAGACATTAGTGATATTTAATGATCCTCGTGATGACGCTTCTTGAGAAGACAATTCATTTTACTTCTCACTCGTGTCTTCCAGGTGTGGATACTTTCCCTCTTCTTGTGGCAGTTCCCTTATTGTGTTAACGTGTAGATGTGTGTCTTTGGGGCTTCCCTATATATACTTCACAAAATCCCTTTACTTGTTTTTCTAATTCTTCTTCTTAAATAATCATTTTTGGGTTAAACACTTTCTTTTCTAAGTTCTTATTTTCATTAATCATAGGAAAGAAAACTAAACCTGTCCATGTTCAGGATATTTAGTCCTTGTATTCCGCTGAGGAAATGATTGATAAATTTTATCATCGCATCAGACTTTTCAGTATGAGTCAAGAGAGAGATGTGATCATGGAACCCTGTTTAAAGGATGAGAGGGCGAATGCGGATACATCCAGCGAGCCGTCAACCCCCTATTTTTATATCTATCTTCCTGTTATTTATGGAATGAGGGTTCTAATTCCCTTTACCTATTTTGAAATGAAGTTTTTGACTACTCCCAATGTCGCCCCTCTCAAGTTACTTTGAATGTCTGAGGTATACTTAAAGTTTCTTTATTTCTTCAGGATAAAACTTCTTCCCACAAATGGTTAAGTGACGCTGCGCCTTTTTCCTCAAGGATGCCTGCTAAAAACCTTTCGCCAACCATTATGAGGATTAGAAGGACACGTTTGTGCAGATAAGAGGGCAGGATAATGTTTCTCCTGTTATAGTGGGGGCGAATGGCGAACCCCTCTCCCCTCTATCCTAGTCTTCATATTTGCGACTTACGGCGATGATGCACTAAAAGAAAAATGGAAATTTATGACAGTTAATTTTGGAAGGTTATAACGGTTCGAACCATCTCAAATGTTGTGTCAAGACAATTTTGGTTTTGTCGCAAAAATGTGTATCGCCATGTTGTACTACGACGATTGCTAAAACTGTTACTCCAATTGTCGTTCTAAACTGTTATTTAGGCAACTGACCTAAAAGGTTAATTGTCGTTGTGAGTTTTAGTTTTCGTTATGTTTTTAATGCTGGATGCGACGGTTTCAAACCGTCGTGAGTGTGAAATTCTGACGGTTCAAACCATCGTAATTTAATTTACAAATTCTTAATATAATATATTCGGTAACGATTTAAAACAGTACTAATTATTTAATTTTTACTTTTAGTAACACTTTAAATCATTATTAATTTTTATTTATAGTATTATTTTTTATAATATTATTATTTTTATTTAAATCATTAACATCTAAACTTTTATTTATTTATAGTATTATTTTTTGTTTAAATTATTATTTTTGTTTTGGTAATATTTCTTTAACTTTTTATTTCACTTTCTATTTTAATATAATAAATTTTAAATCACAAACATCTAATATTAAACAAATATCATAATATCAAAGGCAGTCATGTATTGAGGTAGTTTAGGAGACTTGCTCACATGATGCGAGAGACTCTGATGATAGCGAGTGATGCTTGAAAACAAACATGAAATTATACGCAATCATGTATTGAGAATGTGATGAACGTTGTGCTCTTTAGGATATAAATGATGTATATCACTTAAGGTCTGTCCTTCTATTCTCGAGAGAGATGTATTTATAAAGGTCCCATGACTTAGAGTTTGAGTTACCATTAATAACGTCAACCACTTCTTCCTCTCAAGAAAAGTTATTGACCACCTATATTTCAAGAGTTAGTGAAAACTCATTCTTCCTTGACTCCCACGTCATGTCAGCTCTATCCGAACCACCGAGTCATTGTCCAAGCGACAATACTATTAGGCGAGGGCGTCCTAACTTAAGACCTTTATAAATATAACACGACATTATTATTTTAAATCATCGAAATAAAAAATAAAAAATGATCACACCAAAGTTAATTAAGTTGAATTAATTACATAGTTTTTTAAAATAAAAATAAAAGATTGTTATTTTAAATTAATTAAATACATTTATATTTTTAAAAATTACATTTTAAAAAATAAATCTATATAATTAGTTCAGGACAACAATATTTAATTTCTATTTTTAAAACATTTTAAATTAATTTTGATGTGATATTTTTTGTTTTAATCTCAATATTTCAAAATAAGAATACATCATAGAATAAGTGGAAAAAAGTCCAACTGATAGATAAGCGAATTACGCATAAAAAGACCACATGTTCAATTTATTTTTATGAATAATTCTTGTTTATTTTCTATGTCAATAAGAATGTTTAAAATAACAGAATCATTAAAAATCATATAATAATTTTTTTCGAAAAAAAACTTAAATGACAAAAAAAGTACTACTATTAACTATTTATTATTTACTGGTGTTATATTCCCTCTCCTCCATTTTCTATTAGGTTTTAATTAAATTTGTAACTTTTGATTATTATTTATAATTCCCCTTTTCAAGCCTCTCGTTAGTTTAGGAAGAGAAAAGGATCGAAAGAAAACCATAAAGCTACACACTTTCGTTCCTCTTCTTCTTCCGATTCCTAATCTCCTTTTTTTCTGTGCCCTAGATTTTCTCCACCTTACCCTACCTCTTTCCAATCCCATTCGATCCTTTCTCCCATCCTTCTAGGGTTCACCCATGGATTCTGAAGATGATATGCACGATGCCAACGATCTTGAGTCTCTCGATGACGATTTCTACAGTGGCGAAACCGAAGATGCTCCCATGGATTACTACACCGACTACGATGATGACGCTGATGATTACTTTGATGATGGCGATGATTCTGACCCCGCCGACTCTCGCAGACCTGAGGTTTACCTTTTCTTTTTCTTTTTCTCTTCAATTCATTCTTCAGCTCGTAAAGTTGCTTATCAAGCTTCTGTTTTTCTTTTTTGACAATGAACTTTATTAGTGTGGGTGTTGGTAGGATATTAATATCTATGTGCGTAACTGATCATGATAATGATGATATTTGATTGGAACTTGTTTGGTTTATATGACAAAGATGATTTTTTTTTAATTCATTGAAATTGAGAAGACCTAATGAATAATGATCATATTGTGATTTGTGATCGTTTCTTATGTTTTGGATTGGATTTCAGCAAAATTTCACCATATTGAAGGAATCAGATATCCGGCAACGGCAGGAAGATGATATCAGTAGAGTAGCAGCTGTTCTTTCTATACCACGAGTTGCCGCAAGTATCCTACTTCGTCATTATAATTGGTAATTGCATTGGCTTTCTGGATCACATGCTGTTTTATTTTTGTGTGTGTATATTTTGATGCTGCCCTTGTATGTTATGTAAGTTTTTTTTTGTTGCTCTTCGTTGTGTACTTATGCATTAATGGAGATATGGGTTGGTGATGCAGGAGTGTTAGTAAAGTTAATGATGCTTGGTTTGCTGATGAAGAACAAGTTCGAAAAACAGTTGGTTTGTTGGAGAAGAAAGTTTATGAGAATCCTGATGCCAACGAGGTATGACTTGACATAGTTGTTTGGCTTTTTAAACAGGTCGATAATGTACTGGACTTATTGTTTTATGCTGCTTTGGCGCCATTTTTATTGCACTGACTTATCAAATTTCCCCCCTCTTGTGATCAGCTTACTTGTGGGATCTGTTTTGAAGTTTATCCTCCTTCTAAGATCCAAACTGCTTCTTGCGGCCATCCATATTGCTTTTCATGCTGGGGAGGTATTACTTGTGTAGTATATTTTACTTACTTGGCATCCAAAAACTAGTACTCTGATGCATGATTATTACGGATGATATGGTCCTAATGCATTTATACATTAATATTATTTCCTTCTGATTCTTTTTATTGTCTGTTGGGTCATGCTCTTCTGTCTATCCTTTTTGATATGCCAGGATATATTGGAACTTCAATTAACGACGGTCCAGGATGTTTGATGCTGAGATGTCCTGATCCCTCTTGCGGTGCTGCTATTGATCAAGATATGATTAATCTTTTAGTATCTGATGAAGACAAAGAGAAGTATGACCGTTACCTTCTTAGATCTTACATTGAAGACAATAAGAAGGTATGTCACAGTGATTCAACTTACACATTGATAACGATAGTAAATGAAAATATACTTTTATGTAGTGTGCAATCTGTGTATCATCTATATGTAGGCTTCTTTTTTGCCCCAATTAGTACATTCATAATAAATCTTTGCATTGGTGGGTTGGCATTAACCCTATATTATCACCTGGCTAGCCATGTTAAATGAAAAACTTTGTGATGGGTCATTAGTATCACTTAATGTTGTCCAACTACAACCATGCATTATCCCATTAAGTGGGGTCGTACAATGATCAAATTCCTCCATAATATTCTATCTAAGACCATGTTTCTATCCAATTCCTTAATCTTGAGATCTTTTTTAGTAATTTCTCTGATAGTTTTTCTAGGTCTTCCTCTACCTCTAGTTGATTGACGTCTTATAAGTTAATTTGTATGTTTCGCCTCTTTTTTCTATCTCATTATCTCTCACAGCTCACTCACTACTCTTATTTATTCTGCTCTCTCTGTTTTGTTTAGACCAAGTGGTGTCCTGCTCCTGGTTGCGAGCATGCAGTTAATTTTGACGCTGGCAGTGGAAGTTATGATGTATCTTGCCTCTGTTCATACAGCTTTTGCTGGAATGTAAGTTGCATTTGGATTGGTTCAAATTGTCATGGCATTGTGATTTAAAATATTTTTGTTCTGTGTAAGTGATGTATTTTTTGGATTTAAAGTGCACCGAAGAGGCTCATCGTCCAGTGGATTGTGGCACTGTGTCAAAGTGGATTTTGAAGAACAGCGCTGAATCGGAAAACATGAACTGGTATAGAATATCTTTTTTACATATTTTAATATTATATTTATCTATGTTGCCAATAGCGCGGTGGTAGGGTTTGACATGGTGCTTTTTTGGCCCATGAGCCGCCATCTGCAATAGCCGTTGTAGCGGCTGCTAATTGCAGCAAATTTTGCGGCCTCTAACCGCTATCCTGCGCGCTGTTAGGGTTTCACGGTGAAAATCCTCAAATATTTTTTTAAAGTGTTCTCTTTTTTAAGGGTATAAATGTCAACTCAAACCCTTTTAAGGGTAAGGTTTCTTCTACATTATATCATGTTTTTGCTAAAAAAACATCGCTATGTTCTTATTCTCTGTTTAAGTTATGTACCTTAGGTTCATTAATTATTAAGTATAGCAGTCTCTTCAATTGTGTATTTTTATATTTTTGAGCATTTATGTTTACTTTGCATGCTGATTGATACAGTCTTTGCAATAGCTGCTATTCTGCTATACTGCTATCTATACCATTTTAGAGGATTGGTGCTATGCATCATCATCTGGGATTTACAACATAGGTTTTTATGCCTGTAGAGCCTTGGAACATGTCACTGCTTCTGTGTATCTTCTGTAGAGCCTTGGAACATGTCACTGCTTCTGTGTATCTTCTGTAGAACCTTGGAACATGTCACTGCTTCTGTGTATCTTCTGTTTCTATGACTAGTTTCAGTGACCCTAGCTCTGCTGCTGCCTTGTATGTATTCATGTATTTGCTTGCTGTCTTCTCGGTTGAAGCTGATGGAGTTAGTGACTTGGAGCTGTCCCTTTGATGTAGGGTGATATCAAGACCTGATATGACAGAAAATTTAAGCATTAGAGAGATTTTTAGGGTAGCATCAATTCTGGAAAAGATGTTAGAATTTCATTTCAAGAATGCTGGAATGTGTGGAGAATATCCACACTAGAGGGTAAATGATATGGAATGGAGGATAGTCAAATAGAGGTGTAGTGCAACTAAGAAAAACTTTAGGTGAAACCATTCAAGGAAGTCTCTAGGCCAAACCATTAGGAGGGATTTCTAACTGAATGGCCTATCATGAAAAATATTGGTTTGCTCAAATTCCGCTACGCAACAGTGCTCGTCGCCACTATAGCCACTATTTCATAATATTTCGTAATAAATAGCATATCATGGAAGAATAGTGATTCATTCAAATTTCCCTAAGCAATAGCACTATAGCCACTATTTAACAACAATGTTGATTAGTATTCATGATGTCAACTTATGACAACTATTGATCCATGTGGCCCACTACTCCGATATCCCCTCGTGGGAAAATCTTTGGTTTTTTGTTGTTAGATGTTTCGTTAGAAAGGATATTAGTTGGCCCTAAACAGGGTTTTCTTAATTGAGGATATTGGCGGTAACCTCAGAAATTAATGTAAAATTTGGTTGGAACTTTATTATTTTTTGACTCTAATCATTCTTTGGAGAATGTTCTGTGAGTGTTTTGCTCCCATATATTTCTTTTAAAATGTGAAAGGATCTATGATTAAATTAAACACTTCAAATAGAGAATCTTTAAGGATTGAAATTTTATTTATATTTTTATAGTTTATACTTGAAGAATGTCAAATAATAGCTGAGGCCGTGCTCCCCGCACTTCATTTGAAAGAATGATAAAATAGAAGTAAATATAAGACACACAGAGCAGTGTAGTATTTTTAAATTTATTTTACAATTTTACTTGATTGATTTTTCATGTTTGTAATATTAGAATTCTACTCTCTTCTGCTCTCCTTAATAACTCAGTGAAATGCTTCATGTTATTGTCCACTACTACACAGACTTGAGTTAAGACCTGTTAGACTGTTTATTATTATTATTAAATAAATATTTTATAATAGCCGTTATACTTATGTCACTTATTGTGTAAATTATCATCTAATAAGTAGTTATTAAGCTAGTTATGTATTGTGTCTCAATAAAAGGGAAACTGCAGTCTGTTGTGGGTTATCCAGAAATTAGTATGTGGGTTAATTGGGTGGGATAGAACCGAGCTCTCAAAACTTGGTAGGATCCGTGTAATGTATATTCTTCTCCGTGTAACATTTCCATTCTGTTCAAGTGTGAATCTGTATGATTTATCTCTGATTGGGAACCTTTCTCCCGAGATTGTTCAATAATGAATAGTTATTATTCAGTAAATATATCCATTGGTACCAGTTTCTATCGAGACCTTGAGCTAACAGTTAACTTAATGGACTTTCAGGATACTTGCTAACTCAAAGCCGTGTCCCAAGTGCAAGAGACCGATTGAAAAAAACCAAGGGTGCATGCATATGACATGTACTCCACCTTGTAAATTTGAATTTTGCTGGTATGCTTTCTTATAGCTTAATTTTGAACATGATTATATTTTTTCCACCCATCTCTTTTCTCCAATATAATTGTTTTAGAGGGTTGGTGTCATGCAAACTACATGCTTTTCCCCCTAGGAATTAATAATTTTTTGGATGTAAACTGCATTTAATCTACTTCTATCTACATAGGCTATGCCTTGGTGCATGGACAGATCATGGTGAAAGGACTGGTGGCTTCTATGCTTGCAATCGTTATGAAGCAGCTAAACAAGAAGGGGTGGTAAGAGACTTAGATATACTCAACTTCTCTTGATTCAGTTTTGGGTATACTATTGGGCCACACTCCTCAGACATATTTTGATAACAATATAAGATTGTGAAAGAAATCTTGTTGTATGTAGTATGATGAAACTGAAAAAAGAAGAGAAATGGCAAAGAATTCATTGGAGAGGTACACACATTATTATGAGCGGTGGGCTAGCAACCAATCTGTATGTATCACTCTTTTTTCCTTCTGTTTAGTATCTTTTGTATCTGAACTCATTGCTCTACAATTTCTTAATTCATTGTTTATTTTATATTTAGCTAGAATTCCTATGGTGTAAGGCTATATGATTTATTTTATTTCTCTTGCAGTCAAGGCAAAAAGCTCTTGCTGATCTACACCAGATGCAAACTGTTCATGTAAGCTACACATTTATTTTGTGTTTGACCATCTTACCCTCCCCTGAGCCAAAATTCCATGTTGTCTTGTACGTGACTTTGGCAACTTAAAGAACATTTTATGTGCTAATCAACTTTTATGAGTATGTTTGACAACTTTCAGGAATAATAAATATGAATTTACAAATTTAATTTCCTTACTTTGTGATGAGTAATGTATTATAAATTTTAAATCATTCGTCATACATTTACATAGAATTGAATCTTAGATGCATTTTTGGTTATATAACTAAACTGTCTAAAATATCCAGACAAAGTCTTGTCTCCATGTTTCCATCATTGCTTACAGCTGCAAATCTGCTTTTTTTATTATTTTTTTAAAACTTTTGTTTCTTTCGGTATTTTTATTACTTTTCTGTCAGGTATCTGTTTTTCTAGATGTTTTCAGGTTTAAGACATACAGTAGAGCTTAATCTGTGTTGGCATGTTGATTTTTTTTTTTGGCAGATTGAGAAGCTCAGTGATACACAGTGCCAACCTGAGTCACAGCTTAAGTTCATAACTGAGGCCTGGTTACAGGTAAGTGAATATATTGATTATACCTTTGATCATAGTCATAAAAGTTGTGTCATTCAGGGATCCATACAGAATGTCTTGCAATGCAAATAATAATAATTGAAGAGCTTATGCTGTGGTGGCTGGAATCACAATACAAATTCCCTGAATCATGCAACAATATAGGAACTGTGAATTATGGTAGTCTGCTATTAAAGGTCCCTGGTTTTTACTGGTACATGTGGTTTGTGCTTTGCACATTCAGCTTGAGAATGAACTGATGCAATGTGGCGTGAAATAACATTGGTTTTTAATTGGACAGACATGCAAATTGCACTGTTCTGCCTTAGTGTGTGAAAGAAAGCCTACATTATTAATCTATTTCTTTAGATTTTCCTACAATGTACAAAAATCTTTAGAATTTTGACTTTGCCTACTTGATTACATACAATTTTAGGCATTTCAGAATTAACTTATATATGAGTTGTGCTTTACTTGCTAAAAATACTCAGTTTATGATTGTTGGGGTTTGAAAAAATCCGGCAATATTAATATCTAACTTTAGATTTTAGAATATTTTTGTGTATCTTAGGTGGTCTCTCAAGATTATTTCCATTTCATAATTTTTTTGCCCTATTTACTTAGGAAAAAGAGTCTAGTACACGTTATAAATATGAATTAGTTTCTTGTCTTTTGGATCACACCATTCTCATTAAAGCAATATCAATTTAAGATTATTTAGCCTCTATTGTCTATGTTCATCCTTCCTTATCCCAGTCAGTGTTATTTAAGGAATGACCGTATAGTGATTGTTTTGCACAACTTCTGTTTAATTTTTTTGCGATCAATTCCCGGCCTAAGATTAGATTTATATTTTGCTTATGCAACAGTGCATAACTTTTTTGTGATACCAACAGTGCATAATTTATTGAATATGTTCATGCTATTTTTCTTGTCATTTCTAGATTTTATGATCTGGTATATGATTTGTGAATCACTATTAAAAGATTAGCTTTATGATGCATGACTTTAATCCCTGTTTAATGACCTGGGTAGTAAATCTGCCTTACACATTTCTTAGACTGTCAAGTAGTCATATTTTCATAACCCTGTCCCAAGCACAAAAATGAAGTTGTTCATTAAATTATTTTCTTAAGCTGGGTGATCTGAAAATGTCTTTGACTGTTGTAAAATAGATGTCTAATGTCTCCCTAAATTTTGTTTCACCTCTGCAGATAGTTGAGTGCAGGCGGGTATTGAAGTGGACATATGCATATGGATTCTATTTAGCGGAGCATGAACATGCGAAAAAGCAGTTCTTTGAGTACTTGCAAGGTTTTTTTGTTGTCAGTTTCAATTTGATTAGATATGTCTTGCATTTTGGGTGATTTCCTTGAAATAAACTAATCATTTTTTTTAATCTTCAGGTGAGGCAGAATCAGGTTTAGAGAGACTTCATCAATGTGCCGAAAAGGAACTCCAAGTATTCCTCAATGGTGATGGCCCATCTAAAGATTTCAATGATTTTCGCACAAAGCTAGCTGGATTGACCAGGTAAATGTTATTCTTATTGTTTTTGTAAAGAATTTGCCCTTGGTGAATCCTGCTATTACATCTCGAGTTGGAATCTGGTAATGAAAATATATTCATTTTGTACATCAAACCTATTGTACACTTCAATGAAATTCATATGTTTGGGAGTATGTTGTTCTGTTTGCTTTTTCTTTTCATGTTTTGGAATGTTTCCCATCTATTGGTTCTGTTGGTGTGACAATTTGTTTCAGTATACAGTTATATAATGAATAGTATATTAATGACAACAGTAATAAATAATTGTAGGTCTCCAAATTATATTGTTTGATTTTCTAATCCATTTGTTTTTGCAGTGTGACTAGAAACTACTTTGAAAACTTGGTTCGGGCATTAGAGAATGGTTTATGTGATGTGGATAGCAATGGAGCTGCTTCCAGTAAAGCAACTGGTTCAAAAAATGCTGCAGGGAGTAGCAAGGGAAGAGGCGGACGAGGAAAGGGGACTATTCGAGCTAGCATGTCCAGCAGAATTACTGATGATAATCATTGGTCTTGTGAGCAATGTACCTATGCAAATGTCAGATCTGCCACCGCATGCCAGATGTGCAATCAACCACGTCGATGAAAATCCATTAGAAAAACACGTCTTCTGCTCAAAGGCCAACACACCAAAAGCTGAAATGGAGTCTGTAGTCTTAGTTATGTGCTGGTTTCTTTTTGTAAGGCCATATAATATAAACAGGATGAAGTTGTAAGAGTCACGGAAGAAATGTTATCCTCTTTGCAACTCCTATTGAGTATAATCCGAATTTCATGTACATAGTGTTTTCTATCTTTAAATTTACATATTGGTTTTATGCAACAGGCTTCTGTAACTGAGCGTTTTGTATAGCACATGCTGTAGATGAACACCGACATGTTTGCCCGGGACCTGATTTCTAGTAAATTTACCTGCATCTTCTATTAGTTATCACAAGTCAGTTAATGTTTTAAGCTTGGGGGTTAGTTGCTTTTGAAGGAACTCTACGAATAAGGAATTATTTGACAGAAATATCATTACATTTAAGATTTGAATGCTTTAGATTCTAATATGGCTAGGTCCTGTTGATGTGTGAGTCTAATACAATTCGTTTAGTTTGAAATGTATACATACAAGATAGTAATGTGAACTTCATGGTCATCTATTTTTGATGAATATTGTTTTTGACTTGATGACATGAAGGTATATGTTTAAGGGGATTTCTTAATGCATATCTTATGTATTACTAGTGCACCACATGAAAATACAAAATTGTCAGCAATTTTTAGAGATGCAACTCTGGGCGCATGGATTAATAGAATTTTACTCTGGGCGCATGGATTAATAGAATTTTGATTTAACGTTAAAAAAATTATGGAGATGTATTTTGATAAATAGGCTTAATGTATTCTTTGGTCTTTTAACTTAATTTTATATTTCATTTTAGTCCCTTATTTAATAAGTGTTTTTTTTAAGTCTCTCAAATCACGTTCTGTTACTAACATGAGTTTTTTTCGTTAAATTTTTGCAAAAATGGTTAACTTTTGCACACAGCTGTATTTATTTAACTGATTTGAAATTGTTTTAATTGGTTTGAAATATTTTGTTATTTAGAATTTATTTATAATTATTTTATATATGAAGTTTCTTTCTTCTCTCCTTTTCAAACCCTAACCGTTAGATCTATCTCTTCACCCTCTTTCTCTTTTGTTTCTCTTCTCCTTCTTTCTGCAATAACAAAAACAAGTTCGGTTGCTATGGTTTCGGTGTTCTTTATCGAAGTAAAGTGATTCTTAGATTGAAGTTACTTTTAATGTTGTTCGTTTTTCACACTGCAGCAAATGCTTTTCATTCATATACTTGCTCCATCGCTTTACTTAACAGACACAAGTGTTTCATCTGGATGGTTCTATTTTTAGTGTTGAAATTAAAATGGTTGATTCTCATCTCAAGGTCATTGGAATTGATTCTTTTCGAATTGTTGATTCTCAAGGCCATTATTGGATTGGTAGATTACTTCACAAATATAAAGGTTAAAAATATTTTGTTATTTGCTCATTAATTTGTTGTTTGATTTGTCACTGATGTCTTTATGGTTTATTGCTTAATTAGATCATGTTCATTCTTAATATATGTGAAAACGGTAAAAAGAGATTATAATAATCGATATAAATGGCCTATTTTTGTGATAGTCAAGGTTTTTTTGAGATGATTACTACACTATTTGAATTTTAGTACTTCATTTTTTTTTTATATTTGCAGTTGTACTGATTTTTGGTGGAACAACACACATGAGATATGCTGCTTTTAGTGTCAAGAACAACACATATGAGATATGATACTTTTAGTGTCATTTTAGTTTAATGACTATGGTTTGAATCAAAGAATGTAACAAAATTCTAGTTTAATGTCATTAAATTCAAGATTATGTTGATATGAAATTCTGATATGGTAAATAACAGATTATGAATTGATAAAATGTTATGAAATTTTATTCTGGTCACTTTAATCACAATTTGGTTATTGTTCAAGTCTGATCCCTTAACTAACTATAAAGTTTCAATTTAGTCCCTAAACGAAATGTCTCACTCATTATTTTGATTTTTGCCATGTTGTCATGCCACATCATTCAAACTTAACGTTTTTTCTTAACATTTAACATAAATGATTAATTGGACTAACAAAATAATTTATAAGGGACTAAAATGTAACCTTTATTAAATAAGGGGCTAAAGTAAAATCTAAAATTAAGTTAAGGGACCTTGAGACTAATTAAGCCTCATAAATATTATGGAGATGCATCTGCATATTTGGACGATATTTGTTCTAAAATGCGTCAGAGTCCTTCTCTTTTCTCACTTAAAAAAAATCTATTAACATTTTTCAAACTCTTTCAATTCATATTCTCTCAAAATCAACCAACCTACTTCACAACTTATTCTATCAACATCAGATCATTCAAAACCAAAGCTTCTAAGTTTTTAATTTTTGCAAACGTTTGAGTTTTTATATAAATTATTAGAAATTAATGATTAGGTTACAAAATAAACAGTTTTTGCATGATTGATAGTTTATACATAATAAGAAACGTGTTTGATGATTAAAAATAACAGTCAATACATTATTTTTGGGGGTTTGGAGGTCTGTATTACCGTCATTGGCGTAGCTGAAAGTTGCGGGAAATTTTGGAGATACATATCCAAAAATTTTCAATGTTTGGATTTCAAGAACCGGAGACGTATCTCTGCCATAGGCGATAAGTTTCACCTATTCAGGTAGTAAAGACATCAATGCCACCCCAAAAACCAGAGGGACCTCGTGCTGATGAGCCAGTGCCGCCTTAGGCTGATAAGGCTAATGAGCCAGTGCCATCTCAAGCTGCTGAGATTGATGAGCCAGTGCACCTGAGGATTTTAGAGGAGGCCATATAGAGTTGTCATTGTTGCCTCTTAACTCGGACCATATTTCTAGACATATATGAGACAAAGAAGTAAAATTAGTTGGACTCATTCTTTTTAAATTATGTTTATTATTATATTACAAGTTTCTGACAGATTTATTTTTCTGCAGGATCGTGATCTGCTGAAAATCATTAACCATAGGCGGAAGATTATTGGCTTGCCTCATCCTAATGATGAGTGGTTTCAAACTACTTTGTCCCTATCTGGGATGAATGACTTATGCAAGATCGACTATGTTATGGTTAACCACAAAATGATTAATGCTTTCGTGGAGAGATAACGCACTGAGACATCATCATTTCATGTACCACATAGTGAGATGTCTATCACACTCAACGATATGTCGTGTTTGTTGCATCTTCCAATTAGACGCTCAGTTTGATGGTAGACTATCTGGGAGTTAACCCAGAGGCTTCCTTGAGGGAGATTGAAAAAACCAGAGGGGCTCATGCTAGATTTGAATTCCTAAAAAAGGTATATATTGATGAGATCCTTAGAGAAGAGTATGCTATAGGTGATGACGATCAGGTGGGGATGCATATAGCGTATGCTATGCGAGCATACATGTTATATTTGGTTGGCACTGCCATTTTTGTGGACAAGAGTGTCACTTATGTGGTTGTCGTCTACCTAAGGTACTTCGAGGACTTCCATGAGTACAACTAGGGGGCCACTTGTTTGTTCTACTTGTACTTTAAGTTATCAGAGGGCTGTAGGTGGAAGGCGAAGCAGGTGACAGGAAACATCACACTACCAATTGTAATATTTATTGGTCTTTTAATGTTTCTATGTCATTTTCATTACATTTTTGCAACACCTTTAATGTTGATTCATGTTTTCCGACACTTTTTAGGCTTGGATCCTCCAGCATTTCCCGCGCATCTCAGCTGGTCATATGTACCAACCTATACTGAGGATATTTCGATTGCTTGTGCATTAGATCCGCTCAGAGGGAACCAGACGATAAAGTCGTTTCAAGTGTATCTTGACTGCTTGGTTGTCGAGGATATGCACTTTAACAGTTATGTCGATCATCGTGAGACATAACCATTTGACGATACATTGTTATACTCAAGATGGTTGGCTTGTGTTCATGTCATATATTTCCTCATCTGCCTGTGTGCGTTATGTGCATATTTGGCTACACTCAGACTATTTCTAGACACCCTATTGTATCTGCTCTGTCTGCTATGACACGTAGAGATATGGATGCCATGTTTGATGATTACCTTAGTCATGTAACACTAGAGGAAACACAATGTACCATAACTGAGAGCGACTAAAGCTATATCGACGAGTACATCACGTTGTTCTTCAGGATGTCACATCCATATATGGGGCAGACTGCTCCAGGAGATCCACGATACCAGCTCATTAGAAGATACTAGAGGAAGAGTAGACATAATTAGATCATGCTCATAATGTGCTGCCTAGATGTCGACTCATTGTGGAGATTGCGCAGGCAGTCATTGACAAAAGTATCTTTCTTGATGGTAATGTAGTGAGAGAGGTCCTAAATGCTCTTATGACATATGCACGAGAGACAATGATGTACCGGAGACAACGTCAGAGGACGGGGGACTGATGAGCCCAAGGAGCTCTAGTCTGGCATACACATTAGTTGACACTATTTGTACTTTGGGTTTATTATCAATTGTATTTATTTTGACTTATTTCGACTATATTGTGTATTTCGACTTCATTGGGTATCAGTTGATGAATTATTTTGACCATCTGAATTTATATATGTCATTTTGTGTATATCAATTGTATGGTTTAATGCTCATCACATAACATGACCTTAACATTTATAAATAATCACTTTCATTCGAGTAACCATAAAACTAACTTAACTTGTAATGTTTTGACTGTTTACGAAGATGCATCTTCGTAAATCCTAAACGGAGATGCATCTCCGGAATAATAAACGTGTAAAATGGGTCCTTCAGAAAAAGTTGCATGGAGTGTATTTTAACATATTTTGGAGATGCATCTCCAGATCAATTAATGTTTTGACTTAAGACAAGGTACATTTGGAGATACATCTCCAAAATCTAATAGGCATTTTGAGTTTTCTATAGGGTGTTTTTCTATCCCATGATAAGAAATTCCCTATGTTTTATCAACCTAATTTTGGAATAAAAA